TGTGTTGGTGTTGGTGCCCAGTTCCAGGCCTCCAATCCTCCTGCCCTCGCGCGGCCGCCCTCGTCTTCGCTTTTTTTTTTTTTTCTCTCTCTCTCTCTCTCTCTTATGCGCTGGACAATTTGCCCATCGGTTGCCCCGATTCGCCCCCCATGCTGGTGCGGATTGCCTGCGCCTCGCCGCCGACGGAAAGGTGTGCTTCCAGCTTGCTGGGAATCGTCCCCAGATCAGATTACATTTAACGCATATATATATATATATATAAAATAGTACCTGCCCGTCAGGTCCGCGTTGGCAGAGGGGCGAAAAGCAAACAGAAAATGAAGACGAACATTTCCTGCCTCAGCATGTCGATGACACGCCGGTGGCTTGTTTAAGGCACAAGCCTGAAGCCTGGTGGTTCTGGCCCCTCTGCACTGCCCTCAGCCTCCTCCTCAGCAGGAGCGGGATGGGGACGACGGAGTGGGAGCTGGCAAAGCACCAGGCCGGTTCTGGACCCGAAGCATGAAAGAGCACGGCCACGGGCAGCGGAGAAAATGCACAGCTCAAAGCGAGCACAACGCGGCGCTGTGGAGATGCCCCACACGAGCCGAAGACGGGAGCCGATAATGTAAGTACACAGCGAAGGGTGGAATCAGCGGTGGAGGGGAAAACGCTTCCAGCGTTTTTGAGAGCATCCGAGGGCCGAGGGACCGCATAGGGGCAGTGCACGCTGTAGCCGCTGGCTTCCGGTGCCCCGCCTGGCCAGGCCGGGGAGCTCTGAGGGGGCAGGGTGCTCTCGCCGAGCAGCGCAAGGGCAAAGGGGGGGGAGGTTTGGCCCCGGGAGTTTTGTATCGAGATTTCAATCATTAATTTTTGGTCTTCCAAAGGACAGTGTTTGAAATCTCGGTTCAAAACTGTTCAACCATCCTATAAGTTTTCAATTTTTCTTTCGGCCGTTCCATTTTTTTTTGGGTTCGGTTTCCGTTTCCGTGGCCTGTTGGGTTCGGTTTCCGTCTCCGTGGCCTGTTGGGTTCGATTTCCTGTCGGGTGAGATTCTCGGGCGCCTGCCCACGGTGCAGAGATCTTTTCGATCCGATTGATCCGACTCGATATTGATTCCGGCTGGCTCGATCCGCTTCGATTCCGTTGTCTCGTCAACATGATGCGTCCCGATGCTTGCACGGCGTTGTGGTTCATCCTGGCGCAACCGATCCGCTTCGATTCCGACTCGGTGCCGATGCGGCCCCATTCTTTCACGTCCTGATCCGATGCAGCTTACCGATTCGATGCTGACTGATCCTGCGGTGCTATGGCCTTGGAGCCGCCAGAGTTCCCAAATGATTGATGCATCCGTCAAGCGATGTGCCGCGGGCGCAGTTCGTGCCTTGCAGAGACTGCGAGGATGGCCCTCGGCTGCTCCACACTGCTCCGTACCACCAAGATGGGCACACGGCAACGGATATATCTTGGCAGCGCGCAGGAAAGCGGCAGGAACGTGTGGCATGAGAGGGCCATCTTCGCGCGGGACGGCGCAGGGAAGTGGCAGGAAGTCGCCGCTTTCCCGCATCGGCCAGGTCCTGGGCCCACTGAGCACCCACCAGAGCAGCGCTGGACTGTGTGCGCCCTGTGCCGGCCGCAAGACCCAGGGCCCCTCAGCTCAGCTCGAGGATGCCTGGCCCCGCGAGCTCTCGTCGCACGCCGCCCCGCCCCGCGGCCAGTGCGGGGTGGGGGTGAGCACTAAGGGGGGTCAGTCACTCCCGTTTGGCTGACCCGGGTTTGGGAACCGCGGCCCGCTTGAAGCCAGTGTGGCTTCAGATCGGGGCGTTGGCACATGTAGCTCGGCCACAGTGCCCGCAGGGATCTTGGACGGCGGACCGCCAAGATGCTCCCAAGACGCCCCAAGAGGATTCCGAGAAGCTCTCAAGTGGGAACCGCGTGGGGCCGATTCCCCCTTTGCGCCCTCCCCCGACGCGGGTTTTTGGGAGCTATCAAGCAGCCGCTTAAGCTTCGCTTCGCGACAGGGCCCTGGCCGACCTAGATTCGTGTTGGCCTGGGCTTAGTGCGACCTCGAGATGCGTGTCTAGGCCGCTCTCCCAGATGGGATCCGAGCAGATGGGGTCGGAGGATCGCGCCGTATCGTCGATGCATCGGCGATGCGGCTCGATGTGGAGCCAGATTTTCTCCACGCTGGCGTCGCCGATGCATCGCCGATGTATCGGCAATGCGGCGCAATCCTCCGACCCCGCCAACTGCGGCCCCATCTAGGAGGCCTCTATCCATCGGGCAGGCCTGGAAGGTGCCATGAGGGCTTTGGCCGGCAGGGCTGGGCGCCCCTCGCGGAGTGAGCGAGAGCAGTCGCGCGTGCGAGTCGGGGGGTCGGACCCGCGATCTCTTGCGAGCGAGCTTCTCGGTGTTGCCTAGCGACCGCATGTAAGAGTGACCCTTCGCCGAAGGAACCTTTGGTGCGGGCCCACTGGGGCTCCCGATCGCCGAACGCGGTGCTGCAGTAGCGCCTTGCGCGCTGGTGGTTGGCCCCCCGCGGCCCAGAGAAAGCCGCGCACCAAAAGTCACTCTTGCCCAGGGTCACTCTTACGTGCAGCCGATGAGAGCCGTTGGCCGTCGGTCGGTGTGGACCCGCCAGGAATGCGCACGGAGGAGGAAGGGGGAGAGCGGACACGAGTGGAGGGGAGGGAGCTGGCCTGCGGGAAGGGAAAGGGGAGGGGGAGAAGGCAATGGGGGAGAGAAGGGAAGAGGGGAATGGACCTCCTCCCTCCTCCCTCCTCCTCCCTCCTCCTCCTCCTCCTCCTCCTCCTCCTCCTCCTCCTCCTCCTCCTCCTCCTCCTCGGGGGATGGAGGGGGGAGCGACAGCGGGGCGGTGCAGGCGTGCAGAATTCCTCGTGCCCTGCTGCCGTCTCCCGACCTTCAGATCCTGGGGCTCCTGGCTCAAGGGCGCTCGTCGTGAAGCCGCGACGGCACCCTGCCCGTCGCCCCTTTGCGGCCGACAGCAGCGCGACCGGCGCCGTGCTGACCAACACAGGCTGCAGGGGTGGTGTGCAATGATACTGGGCAGAGAGAGCGAGAGAGAGAGAGAGAGAGAGAGCGAGAGAGAGAGAGAGAGCAAGAGAGAGTGGGAGTGAGAGTGAGTGAGAGTGGGGTCGAGAGAGAGAGAGAGAGAGCGAGAAATAGAGAGAGAGAGAGAGAGAGAGAAAAAAAAAAGAGAGAGAGAGAGAGAGAGAGCGAGAGTGAGTGAGAGTGGGGTCGAGAAACATGGAGGCCTGGGCAGGCAGGCGGCCGGGGCGGGGCGGGTTGGCACGGGGCGGGCAGACGTGGCTGAAGGGGGGTGGACGGGTGGACGCGAGGGCAGCGGGAGGGTGTGGGCGTGATGGAGTCGGGCGGCAACTTTCGCTTCTTGGCCACATCGGTGCTCGTAAATCTCGTGCCCGGTCCTTCCAATTTCCTGGTGCTCCCTCTCCCACACGCGTACACCATTAGCTTCGGCCCGGCCCCCGCCGTGCCTCGGTCGTCGCAGGGCGGGTGCCACTTGGATGTCTCTCTGGGCCTCCTCCGGGGGCCTCTTGGTGGCTTCGTGAAGGATTCCTGCAGGCTTGCTGAAGCCTCCCGGGGGCCCCTCGGCAGCCTCTCGGGGGCCCCTCGGGGGCGCTCTCGTGGCCTGCCGGCAGTCTCGGGGGCCATGTCAGAGAGTCATCCTGCATAGGGCCCGTCCGGATTCACCCTTTTGGGTCCATCTTGAGGCTCTCTCGAGGGCCTCTTGGGGGCCTCTTGGATCCCTCTTCGGGGCTCGGGTGCCATCTTGGGGCAGTCTGGGGAGCCTGTGCGGCCGTCGGGAACTCCGCCAACAGAATCCATTTGTTGTTGGGCGATGTTGGCCTTTTGGGGTAACCGTAACCTCCAGAGCCTCCTTGGCGGCCCAGAGTCCCCAGGACGGTTTCAGGACGCACCCCCAGGGGGCTGTCCCAGAGTATATAGGAGGCTTAGGTTTAGAATCATGCTCCTGAGTCCCCCGGGGGAAGTCACGCGTTGCGAGCGCCCATAACCGCCCGAGTGACCTCGAGTTTTAGTTTGGGTCCCTTCGATGATTTCAATGCTCGGAACCCAAGCCTCGATGGCCCCAAGTACACTCTATCCAGTTCCTGCGTCACAGTAGCGGGGGGCATGGCTGAATCTTCAGAATAAAGGATCGCATTCGATTAAAGCCGTGGGCGTGAACTTGAACACCCATTCCGCGTCACATTTGAGCGGAGGTGATGTCGCGTGCGGTACAACAGGATACATATCCCCCGATGTGGCTTTCTCACTTCCAGACGTTGCGTTTACCACGTGCCACGTGCCGTGCGAGTTAACGTACCGCTGGCGAGTGAGCATGTCCTCTATCATGCCTGGTAAGCGTTCTTAGCATAATGCCAATGAAGGTGCCAGTAACACTCTGTCCCACATCGATGTGTGCCCGCATACTTCTGACATTTTGATACGCATTAGCACTCGTGCCTTTGTGCCAGTTCGCCGGAAAGACACGCTTGCAGCGAAGCCCGTTCTGAAAGGATCGTAACACCCCCAGCTGATATTAAAATCTTCGTACGACGGCAGCCTCGGTGCATCTAAGTACTACGTAGTCGACGTAGTGTAAAGAAGCGGTGTATGCATTTACCGAAGTGGTATGTGTTCAAGCGTGTTCAGTTGGATTGTTAACGACGACTGCGCCCTTTGTTCTCGGCTTTGGTCTTGGCATGGGATGTGAGCCTTGGGCTGACGCTGACGATGCTTCAAAGGATGGCGAAGGTGGTGATGGCAATACGCCTCGTGGATTCCTGTTTGAGCATTTCGGTGAACGCTGTTTGGTTGGTCCGTGTTCGCCCATGTCAGGATCCTCGGGGATTGGAGGGCCGCCTTGTGTTGAACGCATCAACTTGTTACTCAAGCTTTGCTCAAACCGTTCTCCGCCACCCCCGTCCTTGGAGGGCGCGGGGCCTGCCGGCGCGCTGCCCGCCGACGGCCCCGGCGCCATGGCGGGCTTCTGCGGCTACGGGAAGATGGGCCTCGGGGCTCCCAGGTCCTCGGCCGTGCCGGTGTCGAAGTCCGCCTCCTGGTGCGTGACGGAGATCGGAGGGCACCAACTATACACCTACACCGATCCAGCCCCCGATCCAGCCCAGGCCGATCCTGGGCCCAGGATCGGTGTATATGCATTCTGCCCATGGCAGGAGGGCATATACACCGATCCTGGGCCCAGGTTGATCCTGGCCAGGATCGGTGTTGGTGTATAGTTGGTGCCTCCCTAGGAGAAGGTGCACGGGGCAAACTTCTCCGTGCACGTGGACCGCGCGGGCCGCCTCCGGTGCGCGAAGCGGACCGGCTTCCTGGCGGAGCACGAGGACTTCTTCGGGCACTTCGCGGTGCTCCGCCGCCGGAGGGCGGGGCTGGTCGCGCTCGCGGAGGAGCTGATGGCCGCCGACGCGGCGGTGGAGTCAGCGGTGCTCTTCTTACCAGCCTCGAACGTGTCCCCATCCCTAAGATTGACACGCCAAAAGGCGATGACAATCTTTGGGATTTGCCCTCAAAAAATAAGGGAATCCCTGAGATTGGCATCGTGATGAGGAGATGCCCAGCATAGGGATAGGGATATGTTCCAGGCTGGTAATCTTCGGCGAGCTCTTCGGGGGCCGTTACCCGCACGCCACCGTTGCGCCAGACGACTCCGCGCGTCCCGTGCAGACGGGCATATGGTACTGCCCGCACGTCGAGTTCATCCTCTTCGACGCGGCAGTCGTGGGCGGGGGAGAGGGTGGATTGTTCGAATCCTACAGCCGTGTGGCAGGCTTGGCCGAGAAGCACGGCCTGCTGTACGCGAAGCCGCTGCTCGTGGGGCCGCGAGGCTTGTGCGCTAACTACGGCCCTCGATTCGCTACCACGTTGCCAGCAGCGTTTGGGCTGCCAGTGATCGAGGCAAATACTGCAGAGGGCATCGTTGTTAAGCCGTGGGATGTGCAGACACCCATTTGTGAGCGACCCATATTCAAGCTCAAAGTGAAGGAGTTCAGCGAGGGGGATGGCTGTCCCCCCCCTGCTGGCGACCCTGCCATGCGGGACTTCATCTTGTCTTTCGTGAACGACAACCGCGTTGCTGCAGCAGCGAGCAAAGTGGGCAGCCCCAGCGACCGAGATCTCTGGAATGAAATTGTCGAGCTAGTCATTGCAGACATTGTGGATGAGATCGGCGAGGATGATCAGGAGTTCTTGCGTCTGCGCGACCAGGTGCAGTGCGAGGTCATGGACCTCCTCGCCGCATCAGCCGCACGTTTTGCCTGATCGTTGTTTGGGGTTTGTGCCCACAGCTTGGACGGCGAATGCAAGCGTTTGCGGACCTCGCTCGGATTGTACAGCGTTCGTGCAGAAGGTCCCATGGCCCAAGACAAAAAGTCGAAGACATCAAGTTGAGATCTTAGGGATGGTTTTAAATCAGTTCACATTGGATTTGGACCCATCTCTCTCAGCATGTCAGCTCAGCTTGGCCTGTCTTGGTAGATCATAGGATTTGCATGCAATCATTTCATTTGTTACTCGGCTTAGCTTCCATGCGTTCAGTGTGGCTTGGCTCAGCTTTGCCCAAACCTATCCTCGCGTAGTGTAGCTGTTCTGTATAGTTTGCTGGTGTGCTTATTGGTCATCTGAGCTGACGAGCTTGGAGCTGCCCTGCGTGATCTTAGAGCTGAAGAACAATTTCAATAGCAATGACACCCACATCGACAGTTCAAGTTCCGTAATCCTTGCTGGAGCTGACGCATAAAGCTAGCACTTAGCTTGTGCTTGAGCTGGGGCTTGGGCTTAAGCTTAAGCTTGTTCACGATCTTGACGGTGAGCTTGAGCTAAGCTGGACTGTGCTACACTTAGTTGGACTGAGCCAGGCTGAACTACTATGACCTGGGGTTATATAGTCAAAGCTAGGGGAAGGGGATGATGATGATATTGGTGATGCTGCTGGTGACGATGATGTAGCTGATGCGAATGATGCTGATGATGATGCTGTTGCTGATGTTGATGGTGGTGGTGGTGATGATGAGGATGAGGATGAGGATGATGATGCTGATGATGCTGATGATGCTGATGATGATGATGAGGATGGTGATAGTGATGGTGATGATGGTGATGATGATGATGATGATGATGATGATGATGATGATGATGATGATGATGATGATGATGATGATGATTATAATGAGTAACCATTGTGACCATACCGCGTTGACGACGATAGTGAGACTGACGACGATGACGATGATGATGATGATGATGATGATGATGATGATGATGATGATGATGATGATGATGATGATGCTGATGATGATGATGATGATGCTGATGATGGTGATGATAATGCTGATGCTGATGCTAATGATCATGATGGTGATGAAGATGAAGATGAAGATGAAGATGAAGATGACGATGGGAAGGATGAGGAGGACTACAAGGGGGTGACGGGCAAGAGAGAAAGATGGGTATGGGGAGGGGAAGATTTCGCACATATTCTTAAAGCTCAACGGGGGGTCCTTTGGCCATGTATGAGGGATTTCTTGGGGTCCTGCAGGGGCGTCTGTCTTGGAGGACTCAGGACCTTCTTGGGCCGTCTTGGGGCGCATTGCAGGCTTTGGGGGCCTTCGAGTGCAGTCCTGGCGCACTCGGGGCCCTCTGGAGCTATTATCTCGGCAGCCTCTTGGGCTGCTCCAGACCACTCCGAGTTTTATTTTGGGCTGTAGTGGGCCTTCTTGGGTCATCTTGGGAAGCGCTTGGGCCTACCTTTAGATCACAGGTTATCTTCATGCTGGAAAGGCGGGGAAGCGTGACACATCGATCATCGAAAGCTTTTCTGCGATCATAGCTATCTCGGGCCTCTCTGCTGCCAGCTCTCCGCTTCGCAGAGGTCGATACCACTAGCTCTCTCTAAGCCCAAGTTATCCGAAGTGCCGGCGTGCGACGAGACAGCCAGCACGCTCCGCCATGTACGCGCCGCGGCAAATGCAGCGTTGGGCGCGGAAGCGCAGTGTACGCGCAGCGCACCAACAATACAGATATGTATGCACGTATGTATGTATGTATGTACGCGCGCACGTATGTAGGTAGCCATTCACGTACG